GCTGTCCCAAGACATTTCCGTGGTCATGTGGCCGGCATGACTAAACACCAAGGTACATGGAATGCTGTTCCCTTCCCACTGAAGTGGTACCTATTTATCTACTTGCAATTTCTTGCTTTCGAACTGCTAGGTTGGCAGGAGCTGGAACTAGAGACGGGAGCTCACTCCGTCATGCAGCACACTCAGGTCTCGAACTGCTGAACTACCGACCTTCTACAGCATGCAGTTCAGCGTCTTAACCACTTGAGCCACCACAGTTTTAGGAGAGTTGCCTTTTAACTAGATTCCTGTTGGACAATGGCTTGGCTTTTTCTGTAGTCATAGGCATTGCATACGATGAGTTTTAGACATCTGAGCCACAGTGGTTCGGAGGTTAAGATGCTGAGCTGCAGACTGCAAGGTCTGTAGTTTGGCAGTTTGAGACCCTAGTGCTGCATGACGGAGTGAGCTCCCATCTCTGGCCCCAGCTCCTGCCAACCTAGCAGTTCGAAAACAAGAAATCGCAAGTAGAAAAATAGGTACCACTTTGGTGGGAAGGTAACAGTGTTCCATGCGCCTCGGTGTTTAGTCATGCCGGCTACATGACCACGGAAATGGCTTCGAACAGTGCTAGCTCTTTGGCTTGGAAACAGAGATGAGCACCGCCCCCTAGAGTCGTATTCGACTGGCTTTTGAGCAAGGGAAACCTTTACCTTTGCCTTTAATTGTTCAGTACTGCTCATAGTCCAGACTTCTGCATTTAGATGGCATGTTGTGGTTGATCCATCATTCTTCTGCAGCTGAAACTTCCATGCCATGATCGTTTGCTTGCGAAATGTCAGTACTGATACTGAGGACATGGCTTGCTTCAGTACTGGATGATTTTAGACAGGTTTTGCAGTTGACTGGATACAACACAGAGTGACTGACTAGCCATAGCAACAGAGGGGCAGAGAAGCATTATTAACAGTGCGAAACATCTGAATGGGTGGCTGGCATATAATGCTGGCCTCGAAAACCTAGAGTCTGATTTATGTAATACTTCCTCCAGCTTGCACAAGGGGTCTTAAAGGTGCTTTAAAAGTCATAAAATTGGAAGAGTGGCAATTGTCTGGTCAGCATGCGTGAACTGGAGCTTCTGGTTTCAAAGCATGCAGTTTATGGAAGCTGATCTGTAGTGTTCTGAGCAGTCCTTCGTCCACTAGTATTCCAATATACTTCCAGGAAGCTTGCTCAAGTGAGTGCTTAACTGTTTTCTTTCACACTTAATATATAAAGTCACTTTTAGCCTTTCAGTTCAGTGGTTCGGAGGTTAAGATGAATCCAATCTCCTCCTCCTCCTCCTCCTCCTCCTCTTCTCCTCCTCCTCCTTCTTCGTATTATTCCTGCAGTTGCAGACTGTAGGATTCTTGGAAAGTCAAAGATAATCCTCCTAGATCAGGGGCGTCAAACATAAGGCCTGGTACCCAGAACTGTTATGCAGCCCACAAGCAACTGGTACAAGGGAGAGAGTACTGGGGGGAGTGGGCAGAGCCACTCCATTGTGGCTTCAGCATGGCAGAACAACCTTGTCTGCAGCAGTCAAGCATTGTGGGAGCATCTGCCCAGCGCTGCACTGCTGGCTCCAGTCCGCCTCTGTGGGTTTCCCGCCCATGGGGCCTTGCAGTGAGGACACACCAACTTGGAGCTTACCAGCTGCTGTCCTTCATACGGTTTCTATCTCCAGTACCTGGCATTACGTTTTGTGGCACACATGGCCTGGCTTGACAAAGTGACTTTTATGTCAGATCTGGCCCTCGTAACAAATGAGTTTGACACCTCTGTGGACTTAGATGAATGGGTTTTCCTGGCTCTTCAGGCAACCCCTTGCCCAATCTCTCCCTTCCCAAAGAACTGATTAGTTGAGAGCATCCATTTTAACCTAAGAGAAGGAAATGACGCTGATCAGCTTGAATACCATGAAAGAGATGGTCATTGAACAGTCAGTATCTTTGGAGATTTGTGTCTGTCATCTACTCTAGCCTCAGGAGCCTTAACTCTGGCAGTATCCTTATTATGCTTTCTCGTAGCATGGTATATGTGTCTGCTAGAAGTAAAATTTTGGTCCAAGCCATAAGAGGCTCTTTATTTAACTCAAAAGCTTGTGCACTGTTTTGTGTCACTTGGTTTGATCCTAATAAAAGGCATTATGTATATTGTGTTCTAATTTTTTGGTCTTATCTAACCATCACATCCAGCTTTGATATGCAGCTTCTTGTTCAAATTAGTGCTTCAGGCTGGAAACAGTTGTTACAGTCAATGTTCCCTCTTAGCTATGGAGTCTTGTGAGCAAAAATCCTACTTTGTGAGCTGCTGGCGTTATAGTTGTGAGTGAGCAATTTGGCTACTGCATCATTTAGCTTGCTCTGGAGCCATCCTTCCTGAGCTGAGACAAAAATGTGTGAGCCAGAGGCTAAAAAACTGTGAGCTAGCTCACACTAACTCAGCTTAGAGGTAACACTGGTTACAGTACCCATAATCCATCCACTGGACTGTTTTGTGTCACTTGGTTGATCCTAATAAAAGGCATTATGTATATCGTGTTCTAATTTTTTGGTCTTATCTAACCATCACATCCAGCTCTGATATGCAGCTTCTTGTTCAAATTAGGGCTTCAGACTGGAAACAGTTGTTACAGTACCCATACGATATCCATCCACTGGTATCTTCAGTGTAAGACTAAATTGTGTTCCAGTCTGCAGTCCAAATAATCAGAAATTTAAGCCTGATGCTCTCTCCAGAGATTTTCAGTGTTTCTCACCAGTGAGGTATTGCTATCTGGGATGCATTTGTTATGTGAATTAGATGCACTTACTTTTCATTCATGCTGTTCTTTATGGCAATTCATATCATGAATCAGAAGAATTCTGGAATCCTCAGCATCTGTTGTGCAGATAGAACTTTGGCACAAGAAGGCATTGCATAAAATGTCTCGCTAACAGGATGGAGTTGGTGGACCAACTAATGGATTTCATGGTCAATTACAGAAATTAGGGTGAAATGGTCAGTACTGATCAGTTATCTTGCATTATTTATAATAAATTAGATAAGCTGGTAAGGGCCTGTTTCATATTAATCTATCTAAGAAGGGGACTCTGGGGATCCGAATTGGTCTTTCTCTGCTAATGCATCCCACCTTTAGAACTCATGCCTGAGGCAAGCCCACCTGGAATCTATACTTTAGAGTTTTATGAAAAGGGCAAAAGTGCTCTGGCCCCCGCAACTACCTGGTTTTCTATTTCAAGAAGCTCTTTAACAAGACTCTTAACTGTGGTCATAGTCCCAATTGCTAGGGGTGGAACCATGAAAATCCTATTCCTACAGCATTATGGCTTTTCAAATGACTTTTATATACTGGTGGGTAGATCTAATCCCCAAACTGAATATTTTGGTGGGTTTTCTTTTTATGGGTTTACTTTTTTTGTTGGTGGCTTCCCTTTCTATATTAGGATAATAAGATTTAAATAAACAATATAGGAAGTTTTGGGATGTGTGAGTTGTACTGAGCGATGAGTACTAACTCAGTTGATGCATAAATACCGTATCTAGAGATGTAGAATTTCTGAAAAGTTTTGATGCTGGGGAGGAAAAAAATGTTTATTTTCTGTCTTTCTAGGGGGAAAAAACCAGACTTTTTTGGGGGGAGGCAGAACATATGCCGTACTAATTGTCTTATCAAACGTAATAAAATGAATCACTTATAACTTATACTAAATAGTACAGATATACATGGTTATGGATTTTAAATGTAGGGCAGCTCCATCATAAGACCCTGATGTTCATGCATTATCCTCACCCTGATGGAGATGGCTTCATTGCTGGGGTTGCCTTGAACATATGAACATATCTTCATTGACCATATCCTTTAAAATATGTTGTTTGTGTGTGTATGTATGTATATATATATATATATGCAACATATATACTACAGTATACACCAGGGATGTCAAACATAAGGCCCGGGGCCCAGAACCAGCCCGTCCAAGGCTCTTACCTGGCCCACAAGCAATTGGTATGCATGGAAATATAAGGTACTCCCCCCTTTTATGGTATCCCTTGGAAAAAAACTAGTCTTGCATATGATTAAAGGATTGGAGGTTTTTTGGGCTTCCCAGTAAATCAATTGCTTTCACTGCTAGGAATCAATTGCTTTCCCTTGTATTTTGAATTTAAAAATAACATTGTTAATTGGGTCTGCCTGTGTCCTTTATAAAGTTTATATCTCCGGTACCTGGCATTACATTTTATGGTACACATGGCCCGGCCCAACAAAGTGACATTTATGTCAGATCTTGCCCTTGTAACAAATGAGTTTGACACCTCTGGTATACACAGTACTTGTCATTATATAAGGTTGCATATTCTTGCATAAGAGAGCCACAGTTGTGCAGTAGTTAGAGTGTCAGACCAAGATCTGGGAGAGACCCCTTCTCTTCCATGGAAGTTTGCTGGGTGACTTTGGGCCACTCACTCACTCACTCACTCGCAGCCTAACCTACCTCACAGCATTGTTGTGAGGATAAAGAGGAGGAGGGGGAAATGTTATAATCTACTATGGAGAATCCCAAAAACTGGGGAAAAACTGTTCCTTCCCCCCCATTTTCTGCTTTTCTGGGTCTTCACATCTCTAACTGTGCCTGTATTTTGCGTGTACATGACAACTTGGTTCTTGTAGAAGAGCTGGTGATATTAGGATATTGCCATAAATCAAAGCCACAGAGCATTTTTGTTTTTCTCGATATTTTCTAATTGTTGCTTTTGGCCAAATGTTACAAATAATGCCTTTGGCCACAATTCAGCATGGCCAAGTATGCTTGAGGCCCTTGATTTCGGGTCATTTAAGCAAGGTGAACTCTCTGCTACTGATACAAAATTAAAATACTGTTGTATCCTGCTTTGAAGTGAATTGATGGTTGGATTTCTGATTTCTGATGTTAGACTTATTGGCAAAAGAAATAATTCTAATGTCTTTCTTTTGACAGAAAATGGCTGTTCCCCCTGCTTATGCTGACCTCGGAAAATCTGCCCGAGACATCTTTACCAAAGGATATGGTAATTATTGCCAAAGGGAAAGGTATATCTTGAACATGGGCCTTTGAGTTCTAGGATTTTACACAAATGTCACATTACTTCTGTGTTTGCAACATACTATCAATATCCATAGTTCAAACAGTGTCCTCAGAAATAGGCCTTTCTCTTGCCTCTGTTGGGCAACACACTGCTGGCAGCATCTTGCTGAATCTACATTCAGGATTATAGTTAACAAGAAGCGGCGACCCGCGATACTCATGCGGGGGGCAGCTCCACACAGAGGAGGAAGCTGCTGCAGGTGAGCCTTCTCCCCTGCCTGGCCTCGACGGTGAGGCCCGTGAGGCTCCGAGCCGCTGGGCCTGCCAAACCTCCCCCACCCCCCAGCAACAGCGGCGAGGCCTGAGCTCGGCCCGCCAAGCCTTCTCCCTCTCCCCTAGCAGCGGCGGTGAGGCCTGGCTGGCCTGCCAAGCTTTCCCCCCTCCAGCAGCAAGGGCTGAGCGGCTCACAGCCGCCAGCCAACCAAGCCTTCTCCCTCCCCCCACTCCCAGTGGCAGCAGCAGCGAGGCAGTTCTCAGAGCGTTCCCTGTGCATGCGCCAGGAACGCTCTTTTACTTTTGGGGGGATTTAAGTATTCCCCCTATAGTTTTTCATAGATTTCAGATTTTTCTGCACATCTGGGGATTGCCCCAAATGTGCAGGAAAATCTCCCTGCCCCCCAGGTGCCCCCAATGTGTGGATTTAGATATCTGCATGTGCGGGGGGGGGGCGCTTTGGCTATTTGGTATATAGATATTCTCAGTGGTAGTTGTCAGGTTCTGAAAACCAGAGCCCAAGTCAGCCTCTAGAAATATATCTAATGTCAGATTGCATGATGTAATGATGTAGTAGTTTTAGGAAGCAATTCATCAGTTTATTTATTACACCATTTTAAGACTTCCAGATTAATTTATCAATTTATTTTGAGCTGACAGCCTGAAAAATCAGCCCAGTAACTCACTGTTTATCCTGTGACAGAGAAGAAACGTAGGCTACAATCCAGCAAGGCTGTATCTTGTGTATTAGTGGATGTGCTGTGAATTTGGGATTTTCTTTTTGGATTGTGATTTCAGCACTGCATTCCCTGCTTCCATCATGAAAACACTCTTTGTTTGTCTTTCTGTGTTGGATTTATTTGGTATGGGATTCAGTTCTTGCTCATCCAAGGAAGATGGACTTGTTCCTGCTAATGGGATGGATCCTAACCCAATTCTACCATTCCACTAAGCAAAGTTTATTCATTCATTTATTAAAATATTTGCACCTTACGTTAGTTTTGGATCAAATTTTAAGTCTACCTCCAGTCTAAGGAGTCTTCCTCTACCGTAAGTAGCTCTTCCGTTGGAGGAAGAGCCACTTAAGTTGGAGGAAGGCTACTTAGAGGATAGTTGGATCTACCCCAGTGACTGCAGGCAATTCAGTTCACGGGAAGCTTTGTACATGACTTCCTTGTTTTAGCCTTGCAACTCTTGCATTGAAAATAGTAAAAGATTTCCATCACCACCCCTAATTTACTAAGGATACAATCCTAATTACATTTTCCTGTGAGGAAACTCCACTGAATAAACTGGGGCTCCTGCTTAGGATTGCTCCCTTAGTTCCCGAAGTTACTTCTGGTGCCTCTTCTCTGTAAACTTTCTGTGTCGCGTCATACCTACCTGCCAGAATTTCACTGCTGTCTGTTCTTAAGCTTAGACTGTGCAGCAGTGAAATTCTCAAACAAGCTAGCATGCTGTGTGAATAAAGGGAAATGATCTGGTTCCCTTTACAAATATAGTAAAAATGGATGTTGTTCTCTAAATACAGCCACTATTATTTCTTGAATATTTACAGAACCAGGTTTTATAAAAAAGAAATCAGCAGCAGTGTTCTGTTCCCCTCCCCCCTTTGATACTAACCATTTGGTCTTTGTTTTTAATTTCTTAGGATTTGGTTTAGTAAAGTTGGATTTGAAAACAAAATCTGAAAATGGATTGGTAGGTAGACAAGGAATGAGCATGGTTTTTCAGCAGTCGCGGGGAGGGCAGGGTATAAATTAAATAAATAAACAATAAATAAAATCATTGTCACTTCTAATAATGTTTTGTCTTACTGTTTTGAATTGGAGCTATAGCAGCTTGTATGATTTCCTGTTGTTATGCCATCTGACTTGCCAAAAGCTTCTACATTCCCCTCTGCTTTTAGTGCCCCCCCAACAGCATGCATGCTGGGGACTTTAGGCTCTGTGCAGTATCCTCTCAGCTACTCGGATGTGAAAACTGTATGGCTGACAACTTTCCTTATCAGATAGAAGGCTTATGAACTTTTCAAGATATTGTTTGCCCCACCAATGGAGTCCAAAAATATCATTGTTGCCATGACTGCTATAGCCACCAAGCCACCAAATCCTTTAGCACACATTATAATACAAGTACTGTCTACAGTAATTTAATGAAGACATTTGGATTTGCTATATAAAGTTTCCCTCCAGTGAAATCTTTATGTTGTTAGTGTTCTTCCTTTACTAAATTAGATAAAAGTTGAAATACCTGTGTGTAGGTATGTTATATATGTCATGCATGCTTCATTTCTAGGCGTTTCTAAATTTGCAGAACTGGCATGTGAACTTTTGTGGGTGTGCAAATAGGATTTCATATACATATGTGCAAAATCATATTATTTTCCTTTAGGAGTTTACAAGCTCAGGTTCAGCAAACACAGAAACAAGCAAAGTTACTGGAAGTTTGGAAACCAAGTATAGATGGACAGAATATGGCTTGACTTTCACAGAGAAATGGAATACTGACAACACACTAGGAACAGAGATAACTGTAGAAGATCAGGTGAGCAATGGATTAAAAGACTGTAATTTATCAGTTGTGAGCAATTTTCTTTAAAGCTGTAAATGCAACTGGTGAATTTCTTTTTCTGTTCAGCTTGCACGTGGACTGAAGCTGACCTTTGACTCCTCATTTTCTCCTAATACTGGGTAAGGAGTGAATCACTTTGTACAGCAGAATAATATCTCATTTTGATTAGTTTCCTAGAATGCTGCTTAATTCACTTATCCTTTGCAATCTGTGATATGGTTACTAGCTATTCTTTGCATGTGATCAAATGTCCCCTCTAAGGCCTTTGTTTGTAAAGTATGTCAAGTAAAGGCTTTACAGGTAATGCTATTTAGAATAGTCAACATTTGAGTGTTTTGTAGTTGCTGCTAATTTTGGCTTGAGCTGCATATACAGCTCTTAAAAGGCCAAAATAGAACACACATGAACACACACATGAAGCTGCCTTATGCTGAGTCAGACCGTGTGTGTGTGTGTGTGTGTGTGTGTGTGTGCAGTTTGCAGTGCATAAAGTGCTACTTGTCAGTGAATATGCCCTGGTAGCTGAGTTGGGCTGTTCTGAATTTCATTTTCTTCAAACTAGATTTCTTCTCTAAATTCTTTCGGGCTGTAGCCTGAAATTGGGATTGGTTGGATGTTCCTCTGATTGTTTTCAGCTTTTAACTTGGGCCAGGAGGACTAATCAGCTAGGAGATTATACATTTGTGCAGGATTTTCTTCCCATTTTTTATCATTCTTTTTAATTGCTATTGATGTCAGAATGTTACACAGATTATTTCCTAAAGAGAGCACATTGTATCACAAGTGAGCAAAATGTATATGTGTGTGTGGATGTCAGGCTCTCCCATCTTCACATTTGACTTTGAAGCAGCATTATAAATGCTGGTTTAATTACCAATTTCTACTTTGATGGAAACAAAAAAAAAAGGGAAACTATAATAATAATTATTATTATGTAAGCTGCTCTGGGTCTCCATTGAGGAGAAAGGCAGGATACAAATTAAGTAAATAAATAATTAAAATCTGAACATATAGGAATTTGATCTTCTAATGTAAGAATGTTGTAGTTGCATTTCAAAACAATTAAGCCACTGATACAGTACAGAGTACAAAGAATAGGGTGTAGGTTCATGGGGTTTTCCTCCTTTGTCTAGGGAGGACAGTGTTTGTGCCAGCTAAACTGCTTCCTCTAGGAGTGCTTTTTTGTGAGTACTTTTATTTCAGGTCTTTGGTGGCATAGCAGAAGGTGCAAGGGGAGTGGTGAACCTTACTGCCTGTAGTCTTGCCATTTCCTGGTATCTCCATGATGGCATCCCCTAGTCTGAGTTTACAGAGGACTCCAACCCTGTCTCACATGCATGAGCCCTGAGTCAGCTCAGGAGTGGGGTGAGTTCTAGCAAGACATAACCAAAAGGCCTGAGCATAACAGCTGGTCTCTAGATGTATTTGCACCTTATGAAGTGACTATAACAGATTGTGTGGAGCTTCCCCCCAATCCAGGGATCTACAGAGGACCCATGAATGGAGCCTTTCTGCACAACCCCCCCTCCGTCATTTTTTTCCTACTGAATCAGAAGTTTAATATTTACTTCAGAGAAATCTGTTAATACCAATATATGTTACAGTTTTGTATAGACAGGTATGTGTGAAGAGCTCACCCTCTCTCAGAGTTACTTCTGCAATCCTGCTTATGCTGTATTTAGCTAAAAACAAAATTGTTGACTAATTTTGATCTTCTACCCTTGGGGTACAATTACAAACACAGTGCTTAGGATTAGGAAGACAGAACCTGAAAAGAAAAAAAAATCCAAACACACTGGGAATTTATTTGCTTGCATATTACTGTAGGCTGACTATACTAAACTTATCTAGTGATATTGTTATAGTTTAGTCCAGTGGTTTCCAGCCTTTTTGAGTATGAGGACTCCCTCTTTAACAACAACAAAAATTGTGGATCCCCCACAGGATAGTAGTTCTATTAGTATCCATTGATTGAGAAAATATATAACAAAAAGATCAAAATGACAATGCTTCGTGTGCATATGGGTTTGCAATAATTCTGCCCCCCCCCCCGGGTCTTTGGCCCCCAAGCCAGGAACCACTATTTTAGTCCAACTGAACTACAGAATGTTTCCAGTGTCATGATGGGTTGGGAAGGGATCCTCATTCAGTATTCAAAAGCAGTTGCCATCGTTTGATCATTCTGTTTAGAAGATTTAACATTTCCTTCTTTGGCTGGTATATATGTCACAAAGGAACTACAGTACTTCCAACACCATGCTTATCTACTGGTGCTTATGCAGGGGCAGGGGAGAATCATTTAGTGAGGAGAGGGTATAACCCTAACCCTTCCTCTGAGTCTCCCATTCAGATTCTCTTCCCTCAGGCTTTTAAAACATCTTTTCCCCTAGCTGTACTTTAAAATTGAAAAATCACCCTGGCTGGGGGGAGGAGTGGCAGTGGGGGCACAGGAGAGATTTCCCTCCCACCAGTTTTCTCCTGAAGGTCCTAAGCCCTGACAGATGTTTAGTTCTTCCCAGAAATATCTGAAGCGCACGCACACACACACACAGACTTTTTAAAAAGCTCTGTTCTGTAGCCAGAACAGTTTACTTGGGTCAGATAAACATGTCTTCTTGTTTAATCACAGGGAAATGGGAGGTAAGCTGACAACCCTTCAATTACTTATGAGGTTAAGTGACATCTTTCACTTACATGGAGTAGTGAGAGTGTTGCTTGAGAAGGACTGATAGGGCACATTATGTATTACTGATAGCACTTGTAGGTGATGACTTTTGAATTTGGATTACTGATGACTGCTCTTAAAGTTTGACTCTTTTTCAGACTTGAAGTTGCAACACCAGCTAGTGATAGACAGATGTTTTTCTGCTTTTGAGCGTAGCTTACTGTAATATTCACCCTTCTGGGTTGAATGTTGCATTTAAGTGCCAGCTATAATACTACCAGTTTATGGTCTTTACTTTGTTCTGTCTGACTTCACAATCACCAGTGGTCTCAAGATCCTGATCTTTAAAAATTATTTTTACATAAGCCTGAAAGAATGAATAACATAAACAATGTGGCTAATTAGTTACAGATGAAAAGTTTGGAACTTTGACAGCTTGGAACTCTTGCTGGTGGAGTGGAAATTGACCATGCAATGGTTTTACTACTGCACATAATAGTAGAGGCCTGCATCCAAAGAACTGCTGAGTGTTTCCAGTCAATAAGCAACATTTGGTATCTCACCATAGTTTTGCCTTCAGATTATCAGGTTGCAATGCACACAGGGATGGTAGAAGTGAGAGTTGGCATAATTCTCACTCCTGTTCACTGCTTGAAGGGATAGGAGGCCTCTCAGTGTCCAGACATGGCAACTCTAGGCTTCCGTGACTGTCTCTTCTGACTCTTCATTCTAATCCGCCCTCAGGTGTAACCAGATGTGGCACTTCCAACATGAACTCATAACTGTAGTAGCTATCCAGTTTTTGACCACTTCCATCCTGAGTAAGACAGGTGCCATCGATTGTGCTATGTGGGCAGCCAGGGAGAAGCAAGAGCCATTATTTCTGGGTGAGGCAGTTTTGATGGTAGAGAAAATCAGCAGCTTGAGGTGTGTGGACTTGTTGTAGGGAGGCAGGTGACACTGTGGGGGTGTTCATGAGTGGGTAGCTGCTCTGCCTCCATTCACAGGGTAGCCCTGCCATCACTGTTTCTGCTTCAGCCACCATGGAGACCCACCATTCTCCTCCCTCCTTAGTACTCAGTGCCATCTGCATATCTTTAGCCCACTGGTTCTTGCACTTCCCAAGCATCATATCTTTGCATCACTCTGGAGGGAATAATATAATTAACTGGATCGATACTGTGGTGTTTGGCTCTTCTGTAAAGTGTAGTCACTGTGGAGGTGGGTAAATGGTCCGCCCTGAGGCCAGAGACATGCAGGAGGCAGGATGTCTTCAAAACCTTCTTTAATATGCAGAACAGCAAGGCAGAGGACAACTTAGACTTAACCATGGCTGAAGTCCAAACTACCAACAACCCAATTCTAACTAGCATATTCCAGAAGACATGCCCATTCATGTGAAGAAGAGGGAGTTCCACTCAGGACCTAAGCCTGTCTCTTAAAGAGGCAGGTTCCATATACTACAGCCATTAGACTTGGGAGTTATGTATAATTTATTTTATTTATTATTTTAATTTATAGCCCGCCATCCCCACAAACGGGCTCAGGGCGGCTCACAAATGGGGCACATGCCAATACATAAAACAGGTTAAAACAGCTTTAAAACAATCATTATAATATTACAAAACTATAAAGTGCTCTAGATGTTTCAGATCAGTGTATAAGTGTATACATGGAAAGTGCAATGTTTGTTTAGGCCCTTATTCTAATGTATCTTACTCAGCTGCTTACTTTCCCCCTTTCTTCAGCCATTTTTAATCCGGGCTGTCAAGTTTTGTACTTTTTAAAGCACCCTAGTCAGTTTTCCAGTTGTTGACATCCTGCAAACAGCTCCTCTTCCCTTAGGGCCTCATTGAGACTTTAAGGGTGCGTTCAGACGGGGGCTTTACAACGGTATAGGTGCCGGTTCCAACCGGTGTACTTACCGGCATTCACACGGTGAACATCTGCCTCCCGTCCCTAACCGTTGTAAAGGCCTTTAAACCATTGTACTCTGCCACTAGGTCCCCAAGTGGTGGTATCCTGAGTACAACGGTTACAATCGCTGTACCCCTCCGTCTGATCGCTCTCCACCGGTGTCTAGCCACTTTTGTTTGGAAGCCTGAGGCTTCCGATTTCCCCCCGCCATATTTTAAACTGAGCGATGTGCGCTTGGGCGAAGCTTCGCCCTGAACATTTGTTAAAAAAAAAAAAAAAGCTCTTAGTGTAGCGTTTTGGAGGAGTCCGGGACTTCAGGGAGGCCAGTTTGGTCTTTAAACTTTAAAGGTAAGTCCTTACCTTTAAAGTTTAAATGTAATATGGGGTGTTTTGAGCATGCGCAAAGATTGCCATTCTGTGAATGGCTGCCTATGCGCATGCTCAAACTGAGTAAAAAAAAAAAAGCCGACGCCCGCACCGTGTGAGCGGGCATACAGCGATGGGATCCACAAAATGGAGGTAAGTGTGATCACGTTTCAGCCAGCATAAACTGCACCGGTTCCAACCGGTACAGTTTATGCCGGCTGAAACGCCGCGTCTGAACGTACCCTAAGACTAGCAAAACTGATTGCTATAGCTTCTCTCAGAATCTGGATTGTGAACCTTTTGGTGCTCACACCTTTGTTACCTTTTATCACAGCAGCTCAGCCAGCTCAACTACAATGCAGCATAGGTGCAGCCAATATTGAATGGGTGTCATATGGAAATGATTTCCAATAGTGCTTTATTGGCAGCTATACCATATAGACTGTCCCCTAATCTGTGAGTGGGATCCAGTGGAAGAGTTCACAGCAGGAGTTAAGAACTTCCCTTTCCCCAAGTGGCCTGTTGTTCTGTCCTGAAACTCCTTCTAAGGATTGGCAAAGCACATAACAAACATGTGGTAAAGGATGGGTGGGGGCACAGTGTTGAAGGAGAATCAAGCACCGTCACTGTTTCCCCTCTCCCATTTGTGGCTTGCACCTGCAGAAGAGAGAACAGTTTATTTTACTTGATTCACTCTTGAAGTTGCCTAATGAAGGGAGAAGTGAGAAAAGATCTGCTGTGCCAACACCTTTTGTGAACTTTTCTGCTGGATCCAACCTCACAGTTAGACCTGAGAACCAAGATTCAAAGACAGTATAAATGAGGTTCTGAGATTTTGTCTCTGGGTGAAAAGAGACAAAATGTTGGAAATGCAAGAGTCTGCTGATCTTTTTAAAAAGTGAAATTTAGCCACTGAAGGCTACAGAAAGACAGGGGGAGGTGCTAACACCTCTTCCCACAGACACTTTTTCTGATTAAAAAATGCCACTCCCACCCGCTTTCCCACATGAAAGAAAAATGCAGTGGTGTCCTCATCTCTGATGTTCCTCATTTCTTAACAGCCGCTGTATTTATTCCGAGTATATGTTCCATGTGGCAACAGCACATGCCACAGCAGGCACTCTACCCATGACCAAAAGCAAAATTTGGAATATAGGGCGTGAAGGGTTTTAAAATGTCAGAACTGCCATAGAAAGTAGTTTCCTGAGTTAATGAAATAGAGAATGATGTCATAGGAATCAGTGTGTAGTTTTCTTAGGCACAGGAAGCTGTCTGAGGAGGAAAAGGCATGGCTGAGAGAGGCAGAGAGAGAAGCAGCTATGTAGAAATTCTGTTTGTGAGTCAAAAATGGGGTACTGGAAACAAGCTGCAGAGGAAACACACTCTGGCTGTGGGATCGTAGAGTTGCAATGTTTGGGGTGCCATGGACATTGCTATTGGGTATTGACTGCTGTACATGTTGGCATTTGGTAAGTGACAGAACTTCATCTGTTTACCATTAGTTGTGCTAGTAAAAAAGTCTAACTTTTACAATTGCAGTTTAAAAACAAACAAATACCACAGAAGAACTGAATGATAAGCCAATTCAACAGATTCAGTTTTCCCCAATCATGAGTACTATACAGTTTAAAAACAAACAAATACCACAGAAGCACAGTGCCCTTAAGAGCTGAATGATAAGCCAATTCAACAGATTCTGTTTTCCCCAATCATGAGTACTATGCCTTGATGGAAACTGCACCAGTTGAATTTTTTAAGTTGACCTGCAACTAGTAAAGGCACAAGCCTCTGGCAGGAAAAAAGTGAAACAGGATGGGGAAAGAGGAAATTTCTGATTAATGTAAAGGCTTGTTCTTTTTTTAGAAAGAAGAATGCTAAAGTTAAGTCTGGATACAAGCGGGAACATATCAACATGGGATGCGACATGGATTTTGATATTGCAGGTCCATCAATACGTGGTGCCTTTGTTGTTGGCTATGAAGGTTGGCTGGCTGGCTACCAAATGACTTTTGAAACCACTAAATCCAGAATAACTCAGAGCAACTTTGCTGTAGGCTATAAGACTGATGAATTTCAGCTTCACACCAATGTGTAAGTATTTGTGCTAGAAAATACAAATATTACAAATAGAAAAGGCTATTAAGTACTGTAAAGGCAGGGGAATGATTGAAATCATGAGCTGGCTGGCTTAAATTTCAGTATGTGGTTTGCCTTTTGTCTTTGCCCAATGTAACAAAAGCTGTATACTGGACAACAGATGGGCCATGTATATCATTGCCAGCTCCAGGTTGAGAAATTCCTGGAGATTTTGTGGTGAAGTGTGAGGAGTAAGGTTTGGAGAGGATTACACTCAGCATGGTGTAATGCCACAGAGTCCACCCTCCAAGGCAGCCATTTTCTCAAAGGTTACAGATCTCTGTTCTCTGGAATTCAGTTGTGATTCTGGATCTTCAGGTCCCACTTGGAGGTTGGCAACCCTAGGTATATGTGATATGCATCATGAAGAACGTAGCCTTGGTCCATCTCCAGTAGTCAGGTGTGACCCCCTTTTACTGGCTTCATGTTGCTTAATTTGCACTGTTTCATAGGGAGTAGAGATCTGACCACTGTATTTCATGCCATGGTAACCTTATATACTCTGCTTGGGGCTGCCTTTGAAAAGTGTTTAGGAAATACATTGTAGTTGTTAGACTCTTGATGGGTACAAGTTAAAGTGATCATATTAACCTGTTCTGATCCATACTGATAGCCAGTTTGTGTCACTATGCAGTGTTGATTTTGATTTTTCAACATTAACAATCACAGTCCCATATCATCGTAGCTAAGACCTTATTGAAGGAGGAATAAAACTGGTTACATTATTTTTGATGGTCTTGTGCAGTGGCTTATTGTTTCACTGGGTTGATCAGTATTTGTTGTTGTTCAGTCGCACAGTCGAGTCCGACTCTTCGCGACCCCATGGACCAGATCACGCCAGGCCTTCCTGTCTTCCGCCGTCCTCTGAAGTTTGCTCAATTTCATGTTCGTTGCATCTATGACACTGTCTAACCATCTCATCCTTTGCCATCCCCGTCTTCTTTGACCTTCAATCTTTCCCAGCATAGTTTGTTTGTCAGTATAGTTTGATTATTGTTGTGTGATTTTGCATGGCATTAGCCAAAATCTGTTGGGCTATGAATAAAATTAAAAAGGAATAGATACAAAAAGCAGATTAAAGGTCAAAACTCTGTACGATTGTTAATTTTCATTTGCATCTTTTCCCCCTTTCATTAAGAAACACTACAGTTGTTTGCTTATTTTTTAAATACTAACATTAAAGGCATTCTAGAATCCTGAATAGTCTTATTTTTCCATCTTATCTCTCCTTTTCCACTAGTTTATTTTCACTGGTATGTTGCTGTTCTTGTTGTTAGGGAGATTATAGGCTCAATGGGTTTTAAGAGCTTGAGAGTTCTGTGTTGTCTCCTACCCTTCTGCAGAGGCCTGTTTTAAGTTACGCTTCCTCACAACAGAGTGCTTTTTAAGAGCTGCTGAATCACAAAAGCAAAGAGAGAGATCCTCTAGTGGTAATGCATGTGCCAGTTGGATTCAGGACCTACGTAGACGGGCCTTTGTCTGTCTGTCTGAAGTTATGCTATGTACAAAACTTGGTGAAACTGGGAGCCTGCAGCAGTCCTGGAGAGAAGGAGCACATGATAGAAACACAAGATAATGAAATGGCAGGCCATTGCTGTAGGAAACGTGGTGGTGTAGCATTATTGGCCACTGGTTGCTTTTTAATCGTTTTTTAAAAGACTGAGCAGTCACCGCCAGTGACTTCATATGAACTCTCCAGTAGATACCAGCCAAAATACATCATCCAGAAGCATCTTCAGGAAGATTCTTATAAAACTTCACTGTTTGTTATCCTTGCAGGAATGATGGTACAGAATTTGGTGGTTCTATTTATCAGAAGGTCAATGACAAATTGGAAACTGCTGTTAATCTTGCTTGGACAGCTGGAAACAGCAACACTCGCTTTGGAATAGCAGCCAAATATCAAATTGACCCAGATGCATCTTTCTCTGTGAGTAATATATGGACATGTTTTATTAAGAGTAATCCTGTAACTGAAAATGACTTCCTGAACATTGCTCAGTATGTACTCTGCTTGCATTCCAAATACTTAAGAATATTTAAAAATACTGATGGGACGTGAACTTGTAGCAATGTATATTCAGATAGTAACTAATCAGACAATGGACATAAAAAAGGCAAATTTTGTTTAATATAACCTCAGATAAAATTAACATTGTTAATATTAAGGTTAATATTAATAACTTGTCTTTATTCTTATGGCTATCCGTCTGGTAGAGAGATCAGAAAGGGAGGATAGGCGAAATGTTATTGTTCAGGATGAGCTGGGGCTATTGCTAGTCTGGCCAAGCCTAGACAGATCAGGTAAGGAGTTAGTACAGTCCAAAAAAAAAAATCAAAAATCCCTTGGTGTCTCAGATGTTTTCTCTGACACAGCTGAACATGTACACCCTGTGAAATGCAGCTCCAAGTTGCCTGCAGAAAATCCAAAGTGTTGGTGCAGGGGTGGAGAGATCTTGGCCTGGACTAGCCCCAGGGTTGCCAGACAATCCCCCCCGGCCACCGGTGGGAGGGGGGGTTGGTTTGCCAGATCCAGGTTGAGAAACCCCTAAAGATTTGAAGGTGGAGCCTGGGGAGGGCAGGGACCTCAGTGGTGTACAATGCCATAGAGTCCATTCTCCAAGGCATCATTTTTCACAAGGGTAACTGATGTTTGTAATTCTGGAGGATCCCAGGCCCCACCTGGAGGCTGGGATCCCTAACTAGTCCCCTGCATGGGCCAGGCTGGCAGTACTGGCCATGGTCCAAGCCCAGCTTACATAGGTAAGTGGAGACAGGAATAATGACTAAATCCCCTTTTCATTATTATTTTTTATCTTAAAGCTAATTTGATTTTTATCTATTCATTTTTTGAACGAAAAACTAACAAGCAACAAAAAACATGTGCTGGAACCTTTGACCTTTCTCACCATCCATTATGCAAAATGGCCTTATTGGTTTCACTCCCTTACGCAGATAATCGCACCTGTAATATTTGTGATGGGATTCCCAGCAAGCCTCTCTCTGCCTTTTCCCCCCTCCCCACTGGCAATTTTTTCTATAAAGATGTGGAATGTGAGTTTTCTTTTCATAGCATCTGAAGAAGTGAGCTCTGACTCATGAAAAAAGCTCATTCTGGAATAAATGTTTGTCTTTAAGGTGCTACTGGAATTTTGTTATTATTTTGCTACAAAAATTGCTCTCTGGAGCAACCTAACACCTTATGCTTACTTCCACTTGTAATATTCGGACTACAAGTACAATTACCATTGATCTAGTTATCCTGGACTAAACTTACAGGGTATTGCTTAGCAGAACGAGGGGAGAAGTAAGATCTTGGCGAGGGTTCCATTCCCAAACCCATGAAGTCTGTGTATTAGATGCCTTTATTGTTTTGAAAGCTTTCTATTCAGATAAAGGTGTTTAAGTGTCACTGACACTGCAAGTGTGACTTGAACAAAGCCTCACTGAACTCTGTGGATTTTGTTTCCAAGTAAATGTGCATAGGATCATTCTATACTCTGTTTCCTCCCCAACCAAATTAACAGGCGGTTCTTTTTGGGCTAAGCAATAAGAACTTTGAAGCAATAATTCTGAAACCCATTAATTGTTTTGCAGGCTAAAGTGAATAATTCCAGCCTGATTGGTTTAGGATATACTCAGACTTTGAAGCCAGGTAAGTGCAGATATCAAGTGAATGAAACAAAACTGTCTTCTTAAAAAATCCGAATGTTGTCTCCTAGGAATAAATAAGTTGCTTGTGTGTCATTTTGCATGGGAAGCTGATTATTTTCAAGCCTAGTGACCAGCTCTTTCAGGATCTACTATCACCTGAATCTATCTTCAGGTAATATATGTTAACAAAGACTCAGCTGAGAGCCAGCGTGTTATAGTGGTCAGTGTCAGACTAGGACAAGGGTTGAAATTCCAATTCAGCAATGAAGTAACTGAGCAACTTTGGACAAGTCACTTATCTCTTGGCCTAACCTACTTTACAGGGTTGTTATGATGATAAAATGGAAGAGGGGCGAATCATGTATGCTACCGTGAGATCCTTTGAGAGTATGCAGATAAAGCATAATGCCACATTACTTAGCATATGGTGGTGTCACTTGACACCACTGTTGGTACATGGAGGTTTCCCTCATATTTAGCAGTCCTAAGTGCACAAGTTCCTGACAGATGGAAATCCTTTGTGTGCCTCCACCTTCTCAAGGCGAAAAGGGATAGGGCCTTTTCTGCAGTGGCACCTCTTCTCTGTAACTCCTTCCCCTCAGAAATTCACCTAGTGCCTACAGTTTTAAGCACTCCCAGGCATTTGAGACAATTACAGTGCAATCCAAAGAGCCAGTGTAGTGTAGTGGTTAAGAGTGGTGGACTCTAATCTGGAGAACCAGGTTTGATCCCTCACTCTTCCACATGAAGCCTGTTGGATGACCTTGGGCCAGTCACAATCCCCTCAGAACTCTCTCAGCCTCACCAGGTGTCTGTTGTGGGGAGGAAAAGGAAATGAGACTCCTTAAGGTAGAGAAGAGTGGGATATAAAAAACTACGCTTCTTCTTCCTAAACTGGTTTACTCAGAATCTCAGGTCCATTCATTGGGGCTTACTCTCAGGAAAGTGTTTTTATGATTTCACTGTTAAGTGTTTAACTGGTGTTTTTTCCACTAACTGCTGCTTTTAGTGTTCTAGCATTTTAATATTTTAGCTTGTTGATTGTAGTTTACTATTCTACTATTTGATTAATGGTTAGAGTTATATTAACACATATTTTTGTAAGACAGATTTTATTTGTGAACTGCCTGGGAAGTTTACTTCAGTGGCAGTTTATCATTTACTTAAATGTTTCTAAAGTTAAAGAATGGTAAATTAACACTTTGTTGATAGTATTCTTTTGCTAATCTTGATGAATTTGTGGGAACCTCTGCATGTATTAGGGAAAAAAGGAATGTCCTATTGAAGGGTGTGTGTGAGCAAAGTGACTTGACCTAGTCCCAGGCTTCTATCCCCCCTATAAATAATAACTGCAAACAAACTAAATCAATCCAAAATCTCAAAGTGCTTTATGTCCAGATTGCATAAATTATTTTTGCATTCCTATGAATACTTACCCTTTTTCTCCTACTGTTATCTGTACAGGTATCAAATTGACATTGTCCGCTTTGTTGGATGGGAAGAACGTTAATGCAGGTGGCCACAAACTAGGTCTAGGACTGGAATTTGAAGCATAAAAGAAGGGATCGTACTGTTGCTAATTCTGAGATGCTTTACAGAATAGCTACCTTCTAAATTTAGTGTACTTTTTCAATGTTTTATGTCTGGGATAAAATTATTGCCATGTGTCAGTCATGTTGAACCTGGTTAAAGATGGCAAAGTTTCAAAATGTGTTTCCAGGGAAGGATGTTTCCTGTGGTTCCAGACCTCTTGGGGAATGTTTATTGGATGTAACTGTTACATGAAGGTCTGCTTCTGTCTTTAATCTTTTTTTGAGGATAACAGCTGGTGTAAAGAAAGACAGTCTTGAAGTTCATGCTTTGAAAATGTCAATACACAACAGTGTCCAGGAAATGCACATTCCTAACAGTGATCAGGCTTTTGTTCTGTGATGGAGCGTGCAAACTGGTTTGAAAAGGGACTGCTTAGGCTGATGCATCATACACTATTTTAAGTCTTACTTAGTTCTCCCTCTTACACCTACAGCTCTTTTTACACCAACGGCTTGTCCTTGGAGTGCTTTAGAGTGTTCACTTTGTATAACTTTGGCGTGTAGAAAGTTTGATGTGATTCAGCCAATAAAATTCACATCCTGTGTTGTGGTTCCTTTCCCTTGTAATACTTATGGAAAAGCTTGAACAGAGCCATGAGCAAGGAAAAGTCTTTGTAATTGTAATCACCTAGTGGCATTGCATTAACAAAATGGACTTCCGTTTATCTTCTTTTTTTTAGCAGTAATGGGTACATTTTCAGTCTTCCATTTTTTGTGTATGTGGAACTAGACTCCCCTTCTCACATGCTGTACTGGACACCACTTAAAACTGGAAAACCCAACTTGAATAAAACATTGAAACTTCATTTCTAATTGTCTCTGTGTTGTTGTTAAATAGTTTTGCTTACCTGAGTGAGTTCTTACAAAACACTGTTAGGATATTTTTCTTGGCTATGTATAGGTTTGGTATTTCTATTTACATCTGTTTAAAACTGAATAAGATCAGTGAAAATATGGATAAACTTTACAGTTGTGGGGATAGGAGGTATCTAGACACCATCCATCAGGAATCTCCTGCCATCCCTAGCTTGAGACCTTCTTAGGACTTCAGGGCCTCAGTTCTGAAGAGGCAGGCAGATTCTTGTCATGGCGTTGGTCTTGGCCTGTATTCTGCAATGTTCTCCATAGCAGAGCTGTTGCAGTGAGCCACACACACCTAGGTCCCACAGAAAGGAAGACAAAAAGAGGGAGGAAAGGGAGGCCGAATGACATGAGATGTTTGAGCCCCTTTATGTTCAGATTTTCTTCTCTGTGATGGTATGTCTGCTTTAGAGATCCTTCCTGTGCTCTCCAGTCACAGTGGGTAAACTACCCACCTGTGACAAAACTCCTTTTATACTCTCATCAGCAGATTTTTGAACTTTGAAGATGTTGGTCATTGTTTAAGATTATGTACATATAATCTGTCAAGGTTATATAACTGTGTTCTGTTCTCTTTGGTGTTTTGCATTTGCCAGTCTGATTAAATTGGTAATCTATGTCCTGGTTTTTGTATTTAACGTTCATTTGTGTGAAGAACAACAAGGAAGGCAAAAGACAGCATGGAAATAATGTGCAAGAAAATTTATTGCATCAACTAGCATTTTCTGAGGTTGACTGCTGCAGTGTGTGGTTGGTACTGGCCACAATGCACCCAAGCTGCCACTGGGTTGAAGCCATGCTCCTTCTTGTTAGCCACACTGCATTTGGGCTGGCAGGGTGAGCTGGGTACTGCCATGTGCATACTCCTCCTCCCTGGCTTGACTGCACCTGCGCTGGCACCAGGTCACTGGCAACACTTGGGACCCAAGCCAGGTGCTGTGCCCCTCCTCACCAGCCACACCATGTTCAGCCTGGGACTGGGTGAAGCCCGGTGCTGCCATACCTGTGACCATCCACACTGGTGGGCAGAAGCAGGGCAGTGCCATACTCCCCTTTGCCACCAGTTCTATGTCAAAGCTGTGACTGGGCACTAACATGCCTGCAGTCCTCCTTGCCTGGACTGTGTAGGAAGAAGCTGGGTGCTGCCATGCTCCCCTTGCCTGGGCTGGTGGGGCAAATACCAGCAGTGCAGTGTGTGTGCTTCTCCATCCCGGCTGCACGGCACATGAAAGAGCACTGGGGGGGGGGCATTGCTGCGCTCCACACCCACATCACACCTGGATTGGCACAATGTGAAGCCAGACACTAATGAAGTTCCTCATTGCTACCAGGTTGCCTTCCAGGACAGCAGCCGCCACTGAGATTTCACCCAGTAAAATAAATGAACAATCCACACCTGGAGTTACCACATTAACCCTGAATCTCCAGGCACTCACCAGGAAATCCATCAAGCAAGCCAACACAAGGCAAGTTTCAGGGGATGTTCTGAAATGAAGGACAGGATTGCCCTTTGGGAAATAATGGGAGAGGCTAGAAGGCCCATTTGATATAATGAGAGCCACGAACGCCAATGGGCTTACAAGGGCTTCATTGCAACACACAGAAGATTGTAATAAAAATATAGAAGGTCTCTGGGCCCAGTTAGACTGCTCTGGGACAGGAATGATAGCCCCCAGAATGGAATGATAACTCCTGGGAATAGGAGAAGGGTTCTGGGGCTGGAATGACAGCTCTCAGAATGGAATGACAGTGGCAGGAAATCACATAAGTGTTCTGAGTGTGGAATGACATCTCCTAGTAGCAGAAGTGTTTAGGGACCAGAATGAGGGTTCCCCACTCTGGGGGCTGTCATTCCAGGCCTAGAGCACTCATGCTACTCTCATGGACTTTTATGCCAATAAAGGTACTGTATTTGTATTTGTACTCTCATGGACCATCATTCTACCCTAGGGGCTGATATTCCAGTCATAGAACACTTCAGCTGCTCCTAAGGGCCATCATTCCAGCCCCATAACACTTCTGCTACTCCCAGGGGCCATCATTCCTGTCCCTGAGCACTGATTCTAGGCCCAATTACTCTCAGGGACTCTCATTCCAGTCCCCAAACCCTTATGCTACTCCTAGGTGTCCTGATTTCAGTCTCAAAATGCTTCTGCTAATCCCAGGAGCTACCATGCCACTCTAGGGTCTAGTATTCCAGTTCCGGAGCAGTTATTATATTCGTGGGGATCATCATTCCAATCATAGAACATCTGCTACTCCCACAAGCCTCTTTCCTCTCTGGGGGTGTCATTCCAGTCCTTCACCAGAGACCTTCATTCAGAATCCATTCCCCATTTTCATTGAAGCTTTTCTGTGCTGTAAC